GTGGGTTATTGGAGAGATTTATACAAGATTTTTGACACTTCTTTTAAACGAGTCAGTAATCTCTCCCACCAAATCCCAGCTACACTAAGTGACTCTGTCCAATAAGAGAAACAAAAAGCAGGCATCATGGTATCAACAACCAAAAGGACTTTGTAGGTTTGTGCTTATGCTTTCCCTTGAATCAGTTATCAAGTGGCAAGCAGCTGCTGTGATGTGGGGGGTTATATGGCTTCATGAAGAGGCCCAATCAGTCAGTGAGGAACTGAGGCTTCCCACTAATAGGCCTGCAGTGAGCTTCCCTGACAGGAGATCACCTCCTTACACCAGATATCTACTTCTGGGCAGCCAGAGTGAGTCACTGCTATGAGAAATGCTTACCTGGGTGCTAAGACCACCCAACTGAGCTTCTTCCATATTCTTGCCAATCAGACACACTAAAACCTAACTGAATGAAAAATGTGTTCCAAGTTGCCAGTTTTGGGCCATCTACACTATCTTATATAATAGCTGTATTAACTTACATTCCAACAGTGGGCAAGGGTTCCCTTCACTTCAAATCTTTGCTAGCACTTGCAATCTTTAGTCTTTTCTAAGGAGCCATTCTTCTGGGGAAAGGATGGTCTACGGGCCATAGTGTCCAGGTAGAAAGGAACAACATGGGCAGCAGTTGCACTGTTGGATGACTAGATAACATCATGCATGCTTCATGATGCTAGAGGGAAGGCCATAAAATTTTAATCTACTTGTATGATCAGTACATCAGCTCACAAAATAATGTCGAAAGAAATGGGAATGTGCACAAGAAAGATGAAAGCATAAAGAAACACATTCACCATTCTCGAGTCAGGGAACTGGGCCACTAGGGATATTGTCTCAGAAGGATCCAGGCCCATTAATTCTTAGTTTGAAAGCACTATAAACTCAGACTTCAGGGACTATATGGGAGCAGGCTGGCGAGTGGGATCTATGGCTTACCTTCAAATGGGGAGCGTTCAAAGTCATGGCTCTTTGCCATGGCATCTTATGTAAAGTGTAGCTCTGGCTTTAGAAACACATTCTTCTTGCATGGAAACTTGAGAAAACCATCTCTGCACTACATTAGAAGTGTTTTCCACCAGGTGGCATGTAGGTAAAGCTCTTCCTGCTTCTGTTACCCTTTGTTCTGCTTATACTGCTTTCTTCCATTTGTTCCCCTTTGTCCTGCCAAGACAGCCTCTGTGATCTAATCAGCTCACCTGTTGACCCAAGAGGTGAATCATGAAACTGCAGAGAATTCTTACATGGAGATGAGCTCAGCATCCCACTAGTAAGTCAGTTCTGAGAATGCAATGAAGTCAAGGATGGTCTGGGAAAAGAGGTGTGTGTAGGGGCTGATGTATGTAGTGAGCACATTTGTTGGGAGAATGACTTGTAGGAGGGAGGTGAGTCACATGCAAGGAGACAGATTTTTTTCTTCAGGAATCTTATAATACAAACTGCAGTGAGTGTGGTGACAGTGAAATTCAATAAGCAACACAAGAGGCATCACAATTCTTTTCTAAGTTTTTTTTTAATTTGCATTCATTTTAATGAGAAAAAATGATAAAACAGCAATGAAACAGTTTTAAAACAGGTTAGTAGGACATTTACAGTAATTAATACATTGCATATTGTTGTCTCTGTAGTAGTTTTTCAGAGGACAAGATGCAGACATGATATCTTGTCTAAATAATATTAGTACAAACTTCTATTCTCAGTGAACTAAGGGAAAGTAGCTACATATCCCAACTCTCTTGTGTATACATGTATTTTTCCTTCCCTTTTTTTTTTTTTAACAACAAAACTGTTCTTTTTTTTAGAACTGGGGATTGAACTCAGGCCCTTGCACTTGCTAGAGAAGCGCTTTATTCCAGTAAAGTGCTTTATTTACACTTTTGCGAAGTTAGTAACGCATGAAACTAGATTGCCTAGCAGCTGATAGCTAACCTTAACCAGACGGGATGTTCATTTCTAGTTATATAGGTCTTGCTTTAACTTGGTCTTAACCATCCAGCAGAAAAGTGTAAGCACGAGGTATAAAAAGGAATGCCATATTAGTATACTGAGCTGTAAAAGGCTCAAGTCAACAACTTCTGACAATTGCCAGTTCTGTCGATAACCACTACTGATAGGGACTATTGGACTGTATTAGGTTATTTTGCTGAATTCAAGTACTTACAGTCTTTTTTTTTTTGTGTGTGTGTGTGATACCAAGGATCGAACTCAGGAACTTGCACTTGCCAGGCAAGCACTTATTCCAATGAGCTATCTCCCTGGCGACTTACAGTCTTTAGACTGGTTTCAAGTATGAAAAGGTCCTTTAAAGACTTCTCCAAATACAGTTTCTCTACCTGCAGAGGAACACCCATCTCTGATAAAACAAAATGAAAAAGGGAGATATGTTTGGGAGCCAGGAAATTAGGAAATCAATCAAATGTATGTAGGTGGGACTTGGCATGCTCACTTCAGGTGAGCAGCCTGAGGTGACCTGTAAAAATGGTTCTCTACTCTCTGGACCCAGAAAACCCAACAAAACCATGCAAATCAAGAGGCTCAAATCTCCATGTTCACTTTAAGAACACACATGAAACTGCCCAGGCCATCAAGGATATGCATATCTGAAAGACCACCAAGTATCTGAAGGATGTCACATTAACAGAGCAATGTGTGCCATTCCAACGTTACAGTGGTGGAGCTGGTAGGTGTGCCCCGGCCAAACAGTGGGGCTGGACATAGGGTTGGTAGCCCAAAAAGAGTGCTGAATTTTTGCTGCACATGCTTAAAAATGCAGAAAGTAATGCTGGACTTAAGGGTCTAGATGTATATTCTCTGGTTATTGAAATATCCAGGTGAACAAAACACCCAAGATGCACCGCCGTACTTATAGAGCTCATGGCCAGATTAATCCATACATGAGCTCCCTCTGCCATCATGAGATGATCCTTACTGAAAGGAACAAATTGTTCCTAAACCAGAGGAAGAGGTTACACAGAAGAAAAGGATATCCCAGAAGAAGCTGAAGAAACAAAAACTTACGGCACAGGAATAAATTAAGCATAAAATAAATGCAAACAAAATTTTTAAAAAAGTAAATGATGAGACCAGGCATGGTGGCACACACTGGTAATCCCAGAGGATCACTATGAGTCCGAACTGCACAGAGAGATCCTGTACCAAATACATAAAAGAGTAAATAAATTCTTCCGATAATCGTCTTAATATTAAAGTCCATTCCTAATTTTATTTTCGTTACGTCTGCTATGTCTTTGATAATACTTCATTGCTTTTACCTCAGTCTTGCATGAGTGAAGTTTAGTGGCTAACGGCATTTATTACATTTCCTACTAAGTAAAACAGGCAGACCATACCATTCTGCATTAATTCCCCAAAGTCTTTATGAGTCTGACAACAGCCACTTTTCTTCTGAGCACATGGTAATCAGAGAGGTTAAGTTACAGAAATCCCTCTACGTAGCAAATGATAGAGTCCAGTTGAATTTAGACCTAAGTTTTATACAACTTCTCAGGAGTGGAGGTGGGGAGATGGCTCAGTAGAATAAGCGCTTTCAAGGCAAGTGCAAGGGTCTAAGTTCAATCCCTGGTTCCGCAAATAACTAACTAACTAAATAAATAAATAAATAAATAAATAGCAACTTCTCAGGAGCAAAGAAGGGAGCATTGTTGTATTCATTTCTCTTTTCTGGCAGGAGATATATAGTGATTATGCATAACATTAAATAGACAACCATGCTGCAAAATTGAACTTTAAATAGCCACTGGGGTTGAAAAGCACTTTTACTTCCTGTGGATGTCCTTGTTCTGAGTCTGTGAAAACCCCTGGAAGAGGACAAATCTACATAGGACGCAGAGACTGGACAGATGACACCATTTCCTGAAGAGCCCTTCCTTCCTTCATCTTTCCCTTCTTTCCTGATGTTATCCTCACTGGGACTTGTGTCCACAGCATAAATACTTACCCTTGTCTAAATTGAACTATTTCAGGGAACGAACAGAAGAGCTATCTGTAATCCATTAATAATACACTTAGCACACTACTTCTTGTGAATAAATCCTGATCACA